TCTTCCAGCTTGCTCCTTGCCCATATGCATAGGGTACCATAGAAAATTAGGGTTGGAAGGGACCTCAGGATGGCATGTAGTTCAAGCCCCTGCTCAAAGTATGACCATCCCCAATTACACCATCCCAGCCAAGGCTTTGTCTACCTGAGTCTTAAAAACCTCCAAGGATGGAGATTCAACAGCCTGTCTGGGTAACTTGTTCCAGTGCTTTACTACCCTCCTCATGAGAGAGAGTTTTTCCTTATACCTAACCTTAACTTCCCTTGCTGTAACCTGAGATCATTGTCCGTGGGTAGACTAAATGAGGGGCGTGTGTGCATGACACTTCAAAGTGGGGTAAATGCTTTTGCATTGCTTTAATGGTGTTGGTGTTTACATGCTTCGGCAGCATATTGTGCATTAATTCCATCTGCTGCAGGAAATGTGGTGGCGTGATGCACCTTAAATGACTTAAAACTCCTCCAAGGAGTTTTAGTTTGCTGCACCTACAGACGCAGAGTGAAGCACTGGGCTCTGTGGCTCTGCAAGAAGCCCTGCAGGCAGCCTGGGAAGACAGACTCTGCCCAAGAAAAGCAGCAAGCCTGATCTTTCCCTCCCTTGCCCCCTCCCCACCCCGCCAAGCCTGCCTGAGCTGCACAAGGGCCTGGTGCTTCCCTCCACAACTGCAGTGCCCTCTGGGACTGCCTGAGCCAAGTGCCTGCGGGCAGTGCCACCTGGGCAGGGGCCCACCACTGCCATAGAGAGAAGTACCAGCCTCCCCTGCAGCCCAGGGTCCACTTTGCGCTCTGGCAGCTCGCCTTCCCCTCCCCACGACCGGAGAGGCAGGTAAGCCAGCAGGGTGTGTGCATGACACGGGGGTTTAATTGGTCCTAAATTGATGCAGTGGTTTTAAAAACCCACTGCTTCAATTTAGGGCCCCCGTTTCATCTACACATGCCCATTGCTCCTTGTTCTGTCATGTGCCACCACTGAACAGTCTAGCTCCAGTCTCCTTGGAACCACCCTTCAAGTAGTTGAAGGCTGCTAGCTGACATAGCTAGGACATAGTTACTATGGGTAGTTGATACAGCATTGTGATGTGAAGACTGAACAGCTTTAGCTTGCTTACAGAAATCAGAAAAGGGTTAAAATTCAGACAGTGAACTAACATCTGCTTTCCTTCACGTTCTCTTCTCCAATCCCTGTCCATAATTGAAGCACTGTATTTGTCGGCATGTATAAGACTTGTGTTTAAAAAAAACAAAAACAACAGATCAATAGAGAGACATCTGGGAAATTCCAGCTGTTGTGAATCAACTAGTTTTTTTAAACATTTTGTTAGGAAGTAGAGAAAACATCCTCCTTTGATTCTGTATGAATTCGATTAATCCAGTTTGCCAAATCGCTCTCATCTGCAGTGCAGCCAAATGGCTTTACAGCCAGGGATTAAGGCTGGTCTAGTATGAAAATAAAATCTACTGCCAGCAAAACATCAGGATTGGAATAAAGAGAATGTTTGTTCCAATTCTCACTTTGTGAGGCCTCCATTCTCACTTCGTGGTCACTTTTAGCCCTTGGAGTACTAGTAAGTAAGCAACGCAGCTGATGCGCTGTTCCTGTCTGCTGGCAGAATCTTGAATAGCTCAAATAAGTGAAGTAATAATTTGATATAACCAGGTATATACGTATAGAGGTTGCATGCAATGCATTATTTGTGTTGCTTTATTCTAGAGCTTTTTAGAAAAAAATATTCTAGTGTTTTAAACAGTTTTTCAATACAATGGAATAAGTTTCATTCTTTAGAAATATAAGAGATGCACAGACTTTGTCCTTTCTCTCTTGCCTTGGTGAATTTCATAGTGGAAATACAAGTATTTAGCAACTTGTCTCTAGTCTTTTTACTGAGTTTATCCACTGAGATCACAATGGCAGTTTTCTGCTCTCATGTTTTTTATATTCCCTTCCTTTTGTCAGTTTGTAATATGCTCATTTCCTGTGCAATATATATTATGCATGCTACAGTATATGGACCATAACATTGACTGATTTGATGGCTTTAATATTTTCAGTATTTATCAGGTAGAGCTAACTTAGTGACTTTTAAAATTGGTATCTGTCAAACCAGTTAGACTATTTCCAGAAATCAGTTTTAGCAACGTAAGCAGAAGATAAAACTTCCTTGAGGTACAGTTCAGTTTTATGCTTGTAATGATATAGCCTGAGATAAATATCTGCTATTCTCAATGTTAAAAATATACTCTGCAACACAAACAAATGGGAAGACCAGTCAAGAACCAAAATCTTTTTGTGACTCTCAAATATAATTACAAACTTGCTAGAAGTAGAGAATTTCAGATTAGTACACTTTTTATGCTTTCACTTGTATTTATTGTCCATCTTGTACCTAAAATATGACCCCCAATCTTTAGGATAATTATAAAAATAATATTCTGTTAATAAACCGTCTGAGATTACAAATCTTTCTCAGCCATAAGTTCCCCTTTCCATTCCCTATAATATTTGGATAATAATTATGAATACCTGCACTATAAACATCTATATTGCTTGCCAGGCAGTCTTAAGATCGGGACTAGTACTGTTTCTATAAGTGCATGTTAGGAACCAATACAGTCCTAAAATATTCATTATTCTAATAACCATGGGAAGAAGCAAGTTATTTTCATAGCTGGTACCACTCTTGCATTCCAGTAATGCACATAAGAAGCAAACTAACCAAATAGCTGAAGATATGCATGAAACATTGGCTTCTTTCTAAATTTATCAGTTTGAAATACATGTAGAAAATAAACATTATTATTTTAATTCATATACGACTTCTGAAAATGCCGTTAATGATCACTAAATTCTATAGTCTTATCAAAATCGAGGACAGAAGCAAAGCCAATACCAAATTTAACAGAACATTAAATGTAGAAGTGAGGATGTATATTTTTATGAAACTTCTCACATATCCTGCTCAACAGAGAGTTATGCCAATTGTATGGTTTTCTAGCTGCAAAATACAAATCAGCAAATATGAAATAGTTTTATAACTGCCCATGTGGGACCATGCGATGTTTTGGATCAGCTCTATATGCTTGTATCTTTTTGTTTATCTTTTCCTTGTTATTGTAGTGTATTTTAAGAAGCTATCCATGGCTTTCTGGGGTATAATTACATTTTTAACTTGATCTGTAATTTAGTTGCTGGAACAACAGGACAGAGGGTTATTTTGAATCAGAACTGACAACAGGGAGGTTGACATGCTGACGTCAGTCTGCCTTCTGACAGGTCTCTAGCTCACGTTGTGTGCATGTACGCAGAATACATACAAGAATCAAAAACGTGGCAGCAAGAATCTACAACCCACCCACAGGTTCAGGTTCACAGTAGAATAATTATCATCCAATAGTCTGTTTTCATTTTCAACTTTATGATGGTGTTGTATCCTCTCTCCCTTGAAATCTAATGTAATCATTTGCCATGCACCTTTTACTTTCTTAGCTTTTTCTCCCTTCTCCTTTCCCTCTCCTCTCCTCTCTTTTTATATCATGTTAAATGATATTTTAAAGCCTTTTTTCTCCTTCCTCTGATTTTTAGAAAGAGTTGTTGTTGGACAGTGATCCTGTTACCTAGCAAACAGAAAACCTGACAGTTATTAGTATGGTTCTATACTTACTTGCTAGGGACAGAAATTACATACAAACTGGTATAAGTAATCGGAAACTGATTCAAGTCTGTAACACAGCAAAAGTTCAGTGTACATGAACCGCTTTCAAAATGGCTGAAACTGTTTTAAGACAAACCTGGATGGATATAGTAGAGATATGTTCCCTGGTGCCTCCCAGCTTCTGGCCTAGGCCACTGCAGGCATGTGGCTGCATTTCTGGAATCAAAAGTGAATGTCTGTTCACTTGGTAAATTGCTGTTCACTGTGCAATTTAGACTAACATGAGAAGGTGGAGTCAATTCAGCCTCCGGCTTTTTGACTGTCTGTACTTATCCACTGTGATTGATCCAAAATGCTACATATTTTTCACTTCCTGCCTTCAGCAACTTTATAGCATTACTGTATCCTGCTGAACAACTGCTGGACTTCAGTAGCAGGTGAAATAATTCCTCTGGATCTGGTTTCACCAGGATATTACCCCAGCTTCAGCTTTGCACAAATGGCTTTATATGTGAAATTTCTCTAGTTTGCACACGTGCAAATGGGCCGGAAACATGCAGAGGTTTATAGTCGCATGGAATCCAAAATAAGGCTTGGTGTCTTTCTAGTCTTTACAGTGCTTGGGGAGGTTGTCTTGTGTATAAAATAAGTTTTATACATATGCTATATATCTTGGTTTTAGTTATTTAGAATACTTTTTTTTTAAACTTGAGGTGAAGTAAATTTTCATGTTTTATTTGTACTTCTTACATTTGGTTGCCTTTAAAACCACTAAGGCCCATATTCTATTCTGCTTATGAGGCACATAAGTAGACTTAGGCACCTAAGTCTGATTCTTTTCCATCTGGAAGGAGTTACTGTAAAGGGTCCTCTTCACTGATTTTTGTGAAGAGCTAACACACCTACTAGGTTGAACAGAATCTGGCCCTAAAGTGTTTTTTCTATGCCTAAAGGTATATCTACACTGATAATTAAGGATGAAGGAAGCATGAGCCTGGTCTTTAATGTGAGTTCTAAATTTAAGGTTGGAACCTGGGGTATAAGTGGTCAGTCTAAGTAGAGGGAGTTAATGAAGTGAAAGCCAAGATCAAGTGTGTATCAGTCTGAGACCAGAATATCAAACTGAGGGTCAGGATGAGGGTATGTTTAGGGAAGGCTGTTGATCAAGGCAAGAGATCCCAGCAGAAACAGGAGCAATCCAGGTCAGACAAGAAGAAGCAAAGGATGAAAGAAAAGCAGGAACAGGAGCAGGTAAGAAAGGGCAGAAAGGTGCAAGACAGTGCCAGAGGTCACAAGTCAAGATTATAGCACCACAGTCAAAGTCAGGAACAAACACCAAAGTCAGTTGGAGGCATTTGAAACAGGCCAAGAGTACAGCAGAGCAGTCTGTTATGCAGGCAGGTTTCTGCTGTCTGTTCTATCTCATGAAGCAAAATATATTGCTCCCATGACCCTTATAGCTGGACTTGAACTGGTAGGGCCCTCCTCCTATAGACTCTGGAGATGGCTCAGCCTAGTCTTGGACTACTTCCAGCTGGGACATGGTACTGGATCAGCCCCAGCAGGACTGGGCTTTAACTTGAGATTTAAAATGAAGGCCAGTTAGGTGTCCAGCGAGGTATTTTTTGTGTATCCCATGGCAGACAGGAACAGTGACAAATGAGACAGCATCTGAAATGGAAATATAAAATATTCAGCAACTTTTCTTGTAAGTTACGTCCTTTTAGCAATCTCTGTAGCAAACATAGAAAAAAAATTACTGTGTAAGAGCTTGAGACAGCTGTGGGTAGTTAAAAAATACCACATGCTATATTTTCAATCTTTAATATCAAAGGTTCTGCTACAGTATTTCATCTGTGGGTTGACCAAGACTGTGTTGATAGCAGAAGTCTTGAAACTTGATACTATAGATCTCATTAGATTAAAGGACCCTTCTGCAAACAACTTTATAGATGATACTAAAATAAATTGAAAATAGATAACTCTGGAATTGTCCTTAAATTTGTTTTTCCCAAGCACTTCACAGACTTCAGTTGATTTCACAAGTAACTAATTTAACGAATTAACTAATTTTCATGTAGTCCCTCGTCATGTTACTGAACTTTAATATTAGACTTTAGCACTGAAGTCATGAAGATGCTTGGACAAGAACAGTCCATTCTCTGAAGAGAGCTTTTATTGGGCACAGCAATTTGCAATTTCAAGCATAAGATAAAGAAACAACAGAAAAAACTTTGCCTATGCTGAGACGCAGCCAAATAAGACACAGCAACAGCCTAAGACACAACAGAAACTTTGCACAAGTTTTCTGTAGTCCTGAGGATAGAGCCTGCAACCAGGTATTCAGAAGTTTTTCTGGTGGATCCACAGGTGGTCTTAGCTGGTGAGGCCAGTCCCACAGGTTTCATCTTTGCCTGGGCTTTTATAGGCAATCTGCACCCCTTTCTTCCCCTGGGTTGCCTTCACAGTGGCACATCTTTCATGTAATTTGCCCCTCTTGCATATCCCATGTCTCAGGATGTTTTTCCTGGTTCTGTATTATCCCCTGCTTTCACGGGTTTTAAAGTGCCTGCTGCTCACTTTGAAATGTAGCCCCTGCTTTCTTAGGTCACAGTGTTTAAGGAGTCTGGTCCCTCCTGTGCTACCTCAAATCACACACTCAACAACTAACCTAGCTTCAGAATTAGTTAAATGGCAGGCCAGAGACTGTGTTAATTATGTCATGTGTTTGCCAGCGGTCAGGTAAGCACTTCACATTCATCTAAGAATAGCAACATTAAGACAAAGTGAACATGAGTGATTTGCTCAAGGCCACATAATATGCCATTGGCAGAGCCTAGATTAGAACATAAGATTTGGTGTTCCACTGCATTTTGTACTTCACTAGATGCTGGTAACCAGACTCAAAAATATTTTAAATCAAAATTTCACAATGGGTAAGGGTGGAATGGACATGTGAGATAGTAAGTGTATCTTGCATTTTATATTACTCCCTATGAATGCATTCTCACATGATTTATCCAATCGCTTCTTAGTATCTCTCCAGTGGTGGTGCTTCAACCTGGTTTTTCCTTTTAAGAACAAACTTTTCCTTTCTTAGCTTTGGGCCATTTCACTAAGCTTATCTTACTGTTTATGGTACTTTCCATTTTCTCACAGAGCCAAGCTTGAGAGCTTTTGGTGACGTAATAGAGGAACTCGGGCAACTGGTTTGGCAAAGGGGGCTTTCCAAACCAGCAGATGAGTGAGTTTTAAAATTACAGCTTCTAGGAAAAGGAAAAAATACTAATGTGGCTAGATTCAATGAGCTAAATATGTAAACATGTTAAAATAAGGAAGCTGTGATGAATCTACTGACCATTGTGGTTTGTATAATAAGAAGGTGCATTGTCTGTACATGTTGCAGATTTCATATATAAATGTAGACAATTATTTAATTTTATGCCATTTTCCAGCTGTCCCCCTAACTTCCTGAAGACCAACTGCCACTCGCTGTCCTGCTGTGATTTCAGGAGAGGTTTTTGCTGCTCTGCTCACCAGTAGCATTAATCAGAAACTTAAGTTTACATTGCTGCCAGTACCTCCAGCTCTCCCATTTCCTCCTATAGCAGAGGCAGTCCAAAGAGAGGAAGTGCAGTAATAATAATCAGCCCATGTCCATTCCAAAGCTGATGGACGATAAGCATCTTGGCGGGATGGATTTTGTGAATCCCCATGTGCCTGACTGTTGCCCTAAACCATCTTCACTTTGCTGGGGGTAGAGGGAGTAAAAGTAATGTCAGCAGTAGCAAAACTTGAGAGGGATTGAACAGTGCACTAGCCCTGAGTACCAATTCAGAGAAGGAACCAGAATGGCAGCCCTCAGGAAGCCTGTTCTGCCACAGCCACTAGAGCAGCCCCTGTGGAGGAAAGTGCTCACTTACCTTTCCCTTCCTCCTTCACCACCCAGGGTACCAAAATTTTAAATTATGCCTCTGAACTACTGCATCCTGTGGGCGAAGAGGAATCGTACTCAATCCTAATGCATCACCATGCATCTTCAGCAGACCCGCATCATGGAGAAAAATCACTTGTAATACCCCTGCCACATAGAAGATAAGAGTGACCAGCCTTAGGGGAAGAAAAACTAGCCAGGAATTCCCTGTTTCCCTTTTGGCTGCTCATTTCTGGGGGCAGAAATGTACAGCTGAGTTGGCAGGGAGGCAAACCATATCTTCATTCTGGTAATATTTCTTTTTGTTCCTGAAGAGTGTGATAGTAGCAATTCCCCCACTGCTCCCCACCCCCCAAAACTCTCCCCTTCCATCTGGCTACAATCTTGAAGCATCACAAAGGCTGACCCAATTCACATTCTGCCATGTGAAGTCCTCCTAGGGCCTGCACTGCTGTGGAAATGGAAGGATGATCTCTTAGAGGTGGCAGTACTTTTCAGATTTCCTTACATAGAAACAACAGCAAAAACAAATGGAAATGCCTGTTGCAGTTACTAGGGACTAGAGCAGCAAGAGCCTGTTCTCATCTGAAATGTTACAGCAGCTCCACTACAGCTAAAAGAACTCCTAAAAGAGGAGTAAATACTGAGAGACAAAAACAGCCCCCAAGATCTGCCCTTACATCCACTGACATTTCCTAACATTTTATATAAAACTTTTCAAAGCAATCTCAAAGATCAAAGTTCCTCAATGCCTTTTGTACACAATTTATTTATTCAGTGATTAAGGTCCTCAGTGCACAAGAAAAAAGTCTTTATTCTGCAAACTCTGATTACAGGCAGTTAATGAACACAACCTGTGCCTTGCCAATCTGTCATTAATCATGAGTGTTCTTATCATGAACTTATACCAAGGAGTGGGAAGGGGGAAAAAGTTTTTCATTTTGACAGCAGTTTTTATGCTTAATAGATAAGCATTAGAAATTTAGAAAAAAATAGCTAAAGGCTTCACCCAGCAAATGTTTAATACTGAGTGCAGGGCTTAACATCAAGACCATTCCCATTATACTCCATGGGAATAATATTAAGCACCACAGTCGCTACTGTTTGAAGGCTTAAGCCCAATAAATAATTTAACTGATTTTTTTTTTTTTTTTGCAAGCACACAGGACACTTTAACATTCCAAATTATGTAAAATCCAAGAAATTCTGGTGAACAAAATCCGGGGCCTGATTCTCTACAATGTTACAACAGTTTTAGGCCAGTGTAGCATATTCTACCAGCACAGCACAGGTTTGGATATTTGGGTGCCTAAGGATATTGTAAATTCAAAAGGCTTTTATTAGAATGCAGATTAAGATTTTTTTTAATTTAAAAAAGACTTCTACTTTCCTAATGTTTTCTTTTAATGGAAAAATTAGGCATGGGAGACAAACGATTTAAGAATCTGATTAAAATAATTCTTTCTGCATTGCAGGAAAAAAATGTTGATGTTGGTATCACTTTTTTACCTCAAAACTTTTTGTGCTCTGACAGATTAATTAGGTTTATTTAATCAAATTAATCACAATTTTATTTTGGGTTGAAGATGGTACTTAGTAGCTTCTGCCTCCTTTTCCTCTTAGTTCATTGTTCGTTGTGGATATTGCTCTGGTGACATCTATATCTGGACTGACTGACCAGAGAAACACAAAAGGAACAGATAGGATCTGCCTACTTTAAAAGAAGTTTAGTCTGAGATACCTACCTACCCACAGATGTTATTGCTGCCGGTATAACCTCAAATGAGAAAGTTTTGAAACCGGGGCCAAACTCAGGAGGCTTCTGGGTGGCTTTCTAAAAGATGGTAGAAATCTTCACTGGCATCCACAGGAGCAGAAGGTGCTTAGCATGTCTAACCAAAAGCTCCTCCCTCTTCACACTTCGCAGATACAGCCCATGGGTCAGTACCATGTTTAGTATCATGCAGACCAACACTGATTTTTTGTTTGCCTCACTGCTCCTAATTCTCAGTACTATTTTTCTCTCAACCCCTCCTTTTGGCAGTAGCTATACTGCCAAGGAGCCATCTTCTGAATGTCTTTCAGTTCCTCTACTATCATTTGAGAAGTCCAGCTAAAAGTGTCATAGGAGCAATATCTTTGGCCCATGTCTGTCACAAGGAAACAGAGACAGGCAGAAATTAAGTTGTAAATCAGAAATACAGTGCCAGTTTTTCATCCATTCCCTTAGCAGGGGGTTTCCTATAGTAATCCCTCAGCATTAAATTAAATTAAATTAAATTAAAAATAAGAGTTTTTTAAAGGAAGTAGCACTTGAAAGGTCAACAAGGTAATGTATTGTATGGGGATATTTTCTGTGATTCTTCTGCAGTCGATATCTTTCTTTATCCATGCAGCAAAGCTGTCATGTAAAAAACTGCAACCACCTTTGTGTTTCTTCATTTTTTTTCCCCTCTTCCTTTCCCAGGACAAGAAAAAGTCCTTCTTTTGGCTTGTGCCCACTTTATGCAGCCTCAGAAATCCCTCTACAGACACTCTGTCGTCTACCTACAGGACGTCAGAAGAGCAAACGAAAGCACTCACATTCCACCACAGCACGGAAGATGCAACAAAGCCAAGCAGCAAAGAGGGGAATAGGAGTCCCATAGCAAAAATCTGCAAAGCTTTCAAATTTTAGGGGTCACCTAAAAAAGTAAATAGTATAAACAAAATTATTCTTGGTCAGCATAATATTCTTGGGAATGATAATTTAGGGAAAAAAGGGTTAAAACTCCCTCTTTATTTCAGTAACTGCATAAGTAAACTATAGGCACACTCAGGGCTTTGCATGATTATAATCATAGTCAAGCAGATTATTTAAGAATCTCTGTTTTCCTTCACAGATTAATGCGTCCAGTGTCTTTGGTATGCTTTTGCCTGGATTTTTTTTTCATCCACTGGAAATAGTTTATTTCATTATTTCCCAGGTTATGCCACTTACTGGTATTCCATGAGAACTGGTACTGCCTTCACTTCTTATAAAAGCTGACATTTTCAACTTTCCTAACTTCACTTTTCTGTGTAAGAATTGCTGCAGCTGCCAGCAATTACCATGACTTGATTGTTGGGAGGCAACACAGTCAGTGTCACTGTAAATAGGAGAGGAAGTGATCCATAAAACAAGGTTATGATTGAGGTGAGAGCTGAACTGTAGCAGAGCCCCTTCATCTGCAGGATTCATTTAGGGAAGAGCAAGCTGCTAGTAGCACAGGGATTCTGTTCCAGAATTGACTGAAGTGTGGCTGGACTGGGCTGTTTCCATACCAGAAGCTCTGCTATTCTAAGCCAGCTGCTGCTTTTTAGATAAAGCTTGGGGAAAAAATGTTTCCCTCACTCACTGCCACTGTTCCTTAGGCAACAAGAATGTGATGGGGATTCCTTGATTTGCCACAGCCACAGTTCAGGCAGCCAAGGAGTAGGAAGCAAGCTTGCTGTCTTTAAGGAGGATAGCTGCCATTCTTCAGATGAATAGGAAGGAATGTCCTCATATCTTGGTATAAAGGACCCAGTAGGGGAAACTGTTACACCTTCCTCCTGGAGCAGAGGTCTTTGTGAGCATCCCACTGTCACCATGCAATCCTAGAATGAGGGGACTGTACTAAGGAGAGCAGATGGTCCCTGAGGTGCACACACACTCTCTTTGGTTTCAATGCCAGAAAGCCCTCAAAGATCTTTATACCTTTATCCTCCTAAGGAGACATTGCACAGTTCAGATCCTATTGTTCAAGATCCTGAAACTCATTTTTTCAGAGGTTGTGCACCTCAGTTAAAGTTGTGTGTGCTCACCAGCTATTCAGATTAGGTTTATAGAAATAGCCATCAAGTGATCTAATCTAGATGAAAAAGATTTGAATTCACCAAACAGGTATCTACCTTAAAAGATGTCCTCCATTGTTGTGTCCAGTATCATGCTCAATAGCTCATTTGATTTGGTTTCACTGCTTTTAGCAAGTAGTTCCTGATAACCTCATACAAAATAGTGAGGTTACCTAATATTTTTTCTTCATAAAACCTTGTTTTCAGTTGCTTATAATTTTGCTAAACTTCAGGCAACAGCCTCCAGTTTTGGGGACAGGGCAGTATCCTGAATGTGCAGCCCTACCTGCATCTACATCAGCTTCTGCAGCAAGCTTTTTATTTGTTTTATTTTTTTTAAATTTCAGCAAACATATTACCTATCTATCAGGTTGAGTTCAGGAATTAATTGTTTTGTGCAGGTTAAAAAGTCCCTGCAAGTGGAATGGAAGTTTATTTTGATTAAACATTTTTCTGTTGAACAATGCCAGGTTGTCCAAACTAACACTTTACTGTCCCTCAAACTATTTGAAAAAGGACAATTTGACAATATCTAAACAAGTGTTTCTGGATTTTGCCTTAAATAAGTTTTGGCTTCAAAATGAAAGTTAACTTATCAATTTTTTACATTTAAAAGAGTACTATATCTAAATGAAACACTTTGAAATTATCACAACTAAACAGTTTCTCTGTTAACTGATGCCAGAGGTCTTTGCTGTGGATTATCTCTGTAGATAAACATTAGTTCCTCTTTATTTGAACTGTGACTTTATAGTGTGAGGTTTCTAATTATATAGTAGCAAATCTTTTCCACAAGGCCCCTTTCTCATTCAGTCCACAGGATAGGTTGATAATGCTGAGGTACTGATTTGGGGGTTATGCAGTGAAAGACACTGTTCTCTCAAGGCCCTCTGTCTCATTAGTTGCAGAAGTTTGAAGGTGTGCAATGGATGAGAGGAGAAACAAAAAAAATGGATGGACTTGTGAATACAAGCATTTGGATACCACAAAATATTGGATTCCATCCCTGCCTCTGCTACAGGGTTACCATGTGATCCAAGGCAAGTTGCTTTTCACAGATAGCCACTCTTCTGGCTGCAAAAGTTGAGATCCTTTTTGCAGAAGTGCTGAGCAGGTGCAGTGGGAGCTACTCTCTAAACATATTAAATCTTTCAAAATTCCCTGAAAAGTTAGGCCATCCCAACATAAATGGCCACTTTTGACATTTATGTCTTATGTCCTCAGTTACCCATCCTTACTCCTCTTCTCACAGAGGTTTTGTGAAAATAATAGAGGTTTTGTGAAAATAATATGTGAGATGCACATATTGTGAAAATAATATGTGAGGGATTTAGTAATTCACTGCTCAGTGCAGGCTTTAGATGTTGTACAGAAAATAAGGTGTAGGCTCTAGGCTTCATATTGAAATGCTAAATAGTTACTCATTCTGTGAACATTGTCCATCTTGATTTCTGAATGAGGCTTCAGTCCTGTGGAAAAAAGATGTGTGATGATGTAAAGACTCTTGTCATACGGTACAAGGGATCCAAAATAAGGTTGAATTAAGGTAGTTTTTATGGATATATAGTACATAGGCAATGGATGCAACTTAGCCCTGCTTCAGTTACAGAACTGAACTTGAGGATTTCATTTTAAGTCTCAAAAGTAAAAAGGGAAAGTATTTTCTTTCTTTTGCATTTCAAAGATTTACTTGCTTGGCAGTGAGTAATCAGTTGTTCACTGAGTGGAAGACAGCATAACTTTGGAAAATAGCCCCTGGTCTCTTTCATTAACTCTTGGAAAGAAACAAAAGAAATGGGAGGCTTTGGCTCTTTTAAAAGCACAACAGGATTGAATAGAGCATTCCTTCCCACTAGGGCTGGGCAAGAGTCAGCCAGCTTCACAGTTGATGAAAACATAACTTTCAGAGTTATAACACTGAAGTAAAGAGGAATGAAAATGAATACTAATAATTAGTTAGTCTAATAAAAGATATCACATCTACCCAAAGAAACTTTCCTGCCTAGAACCTTGTCTGCCTATGTTCTTAGACCAACATGGCTACAACCAAAAGCCCTAATATTGTATTAGGCAGACGTTTCTCAGAAAGTGTTTCACAAGCTACCTCCCTTAAACCAAGGGAGTTACTTTCTGTCAAACAGGACAGAAATTTTCCTCATCTGTCTGCTATCCTGTTGTCCCCTGCCCCGCCACACTTATTATTTATTATTTATTATTTATAAAGGTCCCAATATTTACTGTACACTTTTATCTCATTATTAGTTATTAAATGTATTTACCTTGGAACTTGCAATCAGCAGCGGGTTAGCCTGAAGCAGAGCAAAGTCAATGTCTGCGGGCTATAGTTATGTATTACTTTTACTGATTTATCTAACCCTAGCAGCTACTGTTTTGAAAGTTATAAATTGCTGCATGCAGACTGCACACAAGGCCAGCTGCTGCCAAGAGAATGTTAAGAGCTATATTTTGAATAAACCAAGAAGACAAACCCAACAACCAACCAAAAAGAAAAAAAAGAACTAACAATAAAATCCCCAAAGGCTAAAGCAAACAGATACACCTTTATAACTCCCTCTGGACTTCCAAGCTCTAGATGGTATGAAAAGGACTAAATTCCAAACAGAGGGAACCCCTAAAGCAAAGTTCCCACTATCATTCCAAAGTAGTTCCATCCCCAAAACTTGGAGCCATAGCATTATAGCCCATTTTAATTGTCACAGTAGGGCAAATGCACCTAAAAATGCAAAGGAAATGAAAACAAGATGTTTGGCACCATGGTTGAGGGGCTTGTAGCAGTTTGCTCCCACTGAAAAGGCCAGTGGCTACATTCAGTGTTAAATGCAGTTTGAAGTTAGTCTTCTAGGATGAGTCCTAAAGAAAGCCCATTAAAGCAATTCAGCCTACAGGTGACAAAAGTTAGGATGACCCTTGTCAAGTCTGTGTTATAGAAGAAAGTTCACAGCTTTGTTGCCAGTATAAATGACGTAAAACACTGCAGGCCATTCTTTCATCCAAGTGTTTTAGGAGCAGGACTGATTGTATTCAAACCTTTCAAGAGTGGAAACTGTTCAGGAGAAACACCCTTACAGACAGGCACATCTGCACTTTCCACCAAATACTTCCATGTGCTATAAGTGCAAGCAATAGACCGCAAAAAGCTGTGTTCTGCTGACTCTGAGCATAAGGACTGGCTGGAGTGTGGGGCAGGTGGATTGGAGTCCACCTTCTGGCGCCGGCTGAAAAAAACCCATAATGAACTCCCTCTGCTCCCTTTCCCCACTCTCATTCCAAAAAAATGGGTTATGGAATGAGGGTTCAGATTTTCACAGGATCAGGCCTTTCTAAAGCACTTTGCAGCTGTGCACTTCTGTTTGGTCACAGCTGTAGAGCGTTTTCAGGGGCCAAATCGGATGAAAATTGTCACTTCTGTCTGTGCTTAGATTGTGTAGTTTGAGAGTTGTGAGCCAGGATTAAAACTCTGCAGGACATCTGTGTGGCTGCAAACTATGCTTGCTTCTACTTGGCACAAAGATCCTGCTCTTTCCCCCATCCTTTGCAAAATTTAAGTTTTGTTGGAAAATGTAAGTTCAATGAGCCTGAAATGTTTTGTTCAGAACATCTGGGGTTGAATAAAACTTTTGCTGAATGCAAGCTTGGGTTTCAACGTGCATATAACCTTGTCTGAATTCTTGGCAGCCTTCCCTGCATCCTGAGACCCAACAGTGTGGATCCCTGACCCTGGAATGGTCAGCCTTGGAGCCAGAGATGGCTGGAAGCTCCAGGCCATTAACATGGAAGAAGCCTATATGGCAGGTCTGTGTCAGGATCAGAGATCCTCAAACAATGTCATTTTCACAGAGTAGGGGTAGGTCCAAGCAGTATCCAGTTCTTCATTTGAAAAAATGAATTTTTCTGTAAACTGAAAACTCTGCTTTTCAGCCAGCTCTGGTCCAGATATGACACATTATACCAATGTCTGTGTCTACAACACTTACGTCTTAATCATTGCCCATCGTGTACCCTATGCACTGAAGGATACAAGGATGCTTGAGAAAAAAGAGCACATGATATATTTAAATTCAGTATCATTAGGCAGTGAATTAAATATTGAATGTCTTAGCTTATATATAGATAGATATATCTATCCATGTATGTATATTTAATGTCTTAGCATATATATGTATGTGTATATATATATATATGTATGTATATATATATATATGTATGTATATATATGTATATGTATAAGTATAAAAGCTAAACTTTCTCTAATAAGGAACTATTCATTAGATTGCAGGGCTACTAATACTTGTTTGAAACTTTTTTCACGCCTAGTTCTAAAAAGTCTTATCTGAAATAAATTAGCCTAAAAGATGGAAGTTTGACAAACTTATAAGCAACTGAAAATGTTTTGAACATTAATTATAATTATTGCTATACACTCCAGCCATATTTTCTGTCAAAAATAGGTTAATATTTCATTCATATTTATATGTGGTATAGACATAAGATTTTTAGAAAAGTGAGGATTGTTTCCCAAGTAAACTAGGGTTTGGCAGGCATTACAGTTCAGATCATCTGATTGTAAAACATGTAAAGTTTCTGTTAATATTCATGGCAATCTAAACTTAACAAACAAGTTAAATTCTTTCTGGCTTTTATTTATGCAATTTTTTCTGGACTGGTGCCAAATTATGTTCTGAAGAAATAGAGGGAACTGGTTACTATGTAAAAAGCATCAGCTGCACAAAAAACACATGAAAGAAAAGTTACTTAGTAATTGAAAGGAAGGCTCTTCGCATTCCTCTTCTTGCTTGCATGTCCATCACTCTATCACTCACATGAGTGCCAGTTCTTGAAGGAGGTTTAAGACTTAAAGCACTGCATATAGCATAGTTCAAGAATACACTAAGACATACTTTTTAGTAATTTGGTGTTGATTCCTTCCTTCCAATGTTCATACATTCTTTTTTTAAATCTTGAAAATAAAATGTTTCTTGTTCTACAAATAATTTGTTTCACTTGATAAACTTCTTTTCACTTTAGAGAAAAGCACATATTATGAAGATGGTTGTGGCTAAATGCTCGCCTGTCTGTTTTTTGGAGCAGGGAACACAACTTTGCTGTGCATTTATACAGCATATGGCACTGGAGAGTGTCTGTCCATTACTGGAGCTCCCATGCATTTCCTCCATGCAGATAATGAATACTACTAATAAGTGTCTGACCATAGTGTGCAGGCTCAGGAATCCTATAAATACCATTAACACCAAAATGTGTTATGTAATCCATCAAATATTTAACAACTTAAAATACCAATGTAATTTCTAGAATTAACAGTACAACCAGTTTGCCATTGCTAAATTGCTGGAACACTAGTTGGTAGATTATTTTGAAACTGCTGGGGTATTGTCCACAATAAATCTGTGGTTTAGCATGGTTTTAAGAAAGCAAGGCAGAAGTCTCACTGGAAGAGTCTATCATTTAAACATTGTATAGTGTTACAATAATTATAAATCAATGTAAATTGCAAAATTGCTAAAATTTTAGTGAAGTACGTAGGAAACTTTGGAGTGCCTGATCAGTCAGTTCACTTATATGTATTACCATCCAGTAAAAACTTGAATATTTCACATATTTTTTAAAAATTAGGTTCTTTAGACAATAAGTCTGTGCATATTAGTGATTTAAGTCATCTTACAGAATAAAAATGAAACTCTTTCAGAGGCTTAGCTATCACAATATTTTCTCCTTGGATGCTATGCAGTTATGATAGGAGAGCGTTCTCAAATGCATATGGTCAGACAGTGACTGGAATATTGATAATATGAGTAAGTTCTGTAAATCTACACTGAAAATGCTTGGTTCAGTAAGATGGCCCACTCTTAACAAAATTCCACAGAGACAAAAGCAGAAACCAGATATACAAGGTTGAAAGCACTGTCATGATAGGATGATAGTTTTACGCTCAGAACAATTCAGCAGGTGCTGCACTGTAGCAAAATGTCAGCAGAATTTTTCCTGAATTCTTTTCCAAGCAATTGTTTTTCCTTATCAAAGAAGAAGGGTAACCCTAAGAGTTGTCAGTACTCAGGCATTCCATTTTGGGGAGAAGAGTAGCCATAGACAGATTTATTTGGATTCTCAAGAAATGTTTCAGGTTGTCATTTTTCTTGTTTCTGTAAATCACTTGGAAGTATGTATTTAGATCTCAACAGTTCTTTTAACTACAAGGCATGACATTGCCTCATGTTAAATTTAATGAGCTGATCTCTCTCTATCCCTTTGTGTTCTTTGAGGCCCTTCTGGGTTGTTTTGATGCCAAGCCCTCGTTATAGACTTAAAGAAAAAAAGTTCATCTAATACTAAAATGTTTTTCCTGTGTATATTATACTTACCTGGCCACCGATGCTACTGGACTGATTCAGGCCAATGATAAATGGATACCCTAGACCACGCAGGCAAGGTTCTTAGACCAGGCAAGGTTCCCTAGACCAAGGGTGTCAAACTCCCCTGGGGAGCTCCATGGGGCTAACTGGGACGCAGCAGAGCAAGTGGTGGTGGTGTTAACCACTGCAGGTTCCTGAGCAAAGGGGATTAAGGAACCCATCACTTGCCCCTCTACCACCAACATGCACATATAGGTGTGCAGGGGTCCATATATCAGAACTCAGAGGCAGGCCCTGCCCCCACCCACCCTGCCCCTGAATTCCTGGTACCTCCAAGAGGCCCATGAGATGGATGATAAGGCACTATGGGCTGGATACAGCCCATGGGTTATATCTTTGACATCCCTGCCCGAGGCCCTTATAAATCTGAGCAAAGATCTGTGTATGACACTGACATCTCCACAAGGCAGGGGTCTACCTGAAGATAGATGAAAGCTAGATTCCGTTTTATTATTATTGCAGCTGTAGTTGATCAAATCATGCCAGCTTACCTGTATGCAGAGTCAAATAGAGCTGCTTTTGATGGTTTTATTTTTCATCTGTGAAAGATTTCAGTAGGTGCATTGTCACTTGAGTACTCCTTTGCACCAGGGTCTTCCTCTGAGAGACTATCTTGTGCCTTCTCTCATTCAATATCTGTATGGGACTGCTGAGTCCTTATGAAGACATGTTCCATAACCCTTTCTCTGTTCTGAAGACATTCAGATGTTTTTTTCTGTTCACCTGGTTGGGGCAATGCCATGGAATCTCTTAGTTCATATTTGCTTGGGCCCTGGATGAAAGGAAACTGAACGAAGTTCAAACTGGATAAAATTGAGGTGAATCTCTTTGGCTTACTGAAGGAACCAGAAGTTGTGCTGAGCGTTATATCTGAATCTTCTATTTAGGGAATGTGCCTACATTTGTTATTAGTGTCTGCAGCCTCAGCATATTGTTGGACCTTCAGCTGCTGTTTGACGTTCAAATATACAGCAGTATCTAGCAACGTTTTTTTCCACTTCTGCCTGGATGCAATGGTTTGTTTTGAAAATAGTCTTTGCTACACTGAGTCTGTCACCTCCATGTTACATTCCTGCAATGTTTCTTCTGTTGGGCTATGCATTAATCAAACTAAAAACTGAAGTTCAGCAAAGTGCAGTGACCCATTTAGTTACCAATGCTCTTGAAGAGCACATAATTTCAATATTTTAAGATCTGGTACCTGTTACACCTTAAAATCTATCTGTAAACTGATGTTGACTTACAGACAGTTCTTTAAAGAGACATAAAAGAGACATCTCTCTGTGTCACTGCCACAGTGGTTGTGAACTGACATGCCTGAGCTGACTTTTCCTTTGAAGGGAAGACAACAGCTCCCAAGTGCAGGCTTGTGAACTTGCCGCCCCTTTTGGTTCAAAAAAAATTCAAATCTGCTCATCATGGCTCTCTATCTCATCAAGGCTGAGGAGAGCTGTGTTTGTGTAAAATGCAGAGTGTAGCAGTGAACAGACGCTGACTTTCTTTTGCCCTTTAATCACAAAATTACTGAGGAACCCATAAAGGGATCTGTACAAATATTTAAATTAACTATAAATTAAAACATAGGATATGATGATGATAATGCACAATGGCAGTTTATTTAATTAAATGTTACAATATTACAACCATAACAGGGCAACTTGTTACAGCATATTAGGTAGCTTTAGCTATGAAAAATGCACTTGAATTGTGAAGCAATTACCATATTTACTTGATTAAAAGATGAGCCACCCCCCGATTTTAAGTGGAGAAAGGGCTTGTCTTAGAATCGAGTGTGAGG